ACATTGTGAATGAGTGATACAAAATAAATAAGGCATTTTGATTGAGCATGGCACTACATCTCTTCATCACACCAACACACTTTGCTACTTTTGATCTCAGATAATTTATATGAGGTTTCCAAGAGAGTTTTTGATCAATGATTACTCCTAAAAACTCATTTTGCGGTACCCTTTCAATGACTGTATCTTTAATGATTATTTGTACCGTCGTGTCTGTGGTCCTGTTTCCAAATAGCATTAGTTTTGTCTTTTTTAAGTTAAGTGATAATTTATTTACATCAAACCATGTTTTTAATGTATACATTTCTTGAGTTATTTGATTGAGGAGCTTCTCCAAATCCGCTCCAGAACATAAGATTGTAGTGTCATCCGCAAACAATATAAATTTCATGACTTTGGATACATTACAAATGTCGTTGATATACAGTAAAAACAGTGTTGGCCCAAGGATAGAACCTTGAGGGACCCCACACATGATGTTACAAAGAGAAGATTTGTGCTGTTCCATCTGCACAAACTGCTGCCTGTCTCCCAGATAACTCTCCAACCACCTCTGTGGCGTTCCTCTGATGCCATAAATGGGCCAATTTTTCTAAAAGAATATGGTGATCAATTGTATCAAATGCCTTTTTTAAATCAATAAAAATTCCAATAATAAAGTTGTTTTTTTCTATACAATTGGTAGTCTCTTCCACCATTTCTATTAGAGCTTGTGTTGTTGATCTACCTTGTCTAAAACCATATTGACTGTTTGATAATAAATTATTTTTTTCCATAAAATGTAGTAGTCTTGAATTAAATATTTTTTCTAGAATTTTTGAAAGCTGGGGTAGAAGGGAGACTGGGCGGTAGTTTGTGAAGCAGTGTTTATTGCCTGACTTGAATAGAGGAATTACCTTGGCTATTTTCATTTGGGTGGGAAATTGTCCGTATTGAAAGGACAGGTTGCAGATATGTGTTAGTGGTTTGACAATTGCTTCCGCAACAGCTAAATGATTGAAACGTGTTTTTGACATGATTAAAAAATGTTAACATTTATTTTTAACATGATTAATATTATTTTTTTGCAGATACATTCTCACAGGTTTAAAGTCAGACTAAGAATTATACTGTATTTGAATATAAATTGTTAATTATTTATTGAATTCTAATTTGTTTTACAGGTAAGGAGGCCAAAAAGAGGTGGAAGAATCTCAGAGACACCTACATGAGAATAAGAAAGACGATGAAAGAAAAGAAAAGTGGATCTGCTGCTGGTGGGCAGAAGACATGGAAGTATTTCCAAATCATGTCCTTCCTGGAGCCATATATAAAAGAACGTGTCACAAGTGGCAACATGACCGCAGACGACGCTCAAGAGGATGAGATAATTCTCACACTAGAACCAGTGCTGGAGAATGAAGATGGCTCTTCTGTTTGCTCGCTCACCACTGACGCAGTCAGTGACTGCAGTAGCCCATCTTCAGTAGACCAGTTCGTCCAGCAGCCAACCACCATCCTCCACACACCCCAATCATCCTCTCACAAACCTACACCTCAAAAAAGAAAGAGGCCTGCTGACAGCTTTGAAACATCAATCCTCAACAGGGTTGATAAAATCCAAGCCCAGCTAAAGGAGCCTGATGAGGATGAACTCTATCTACAAAGCCTTTTGCCATCACTGAAGCGCCTGACAGGAGCCAAGATGGAGATAATGAAAGTGCTCCACAAATTAGAATATGGAGAGGAGTGATATTTTTGTTTTGTCCGATTTTGTATTTATTTTTATAACAGTTTTGCACAGTTGGCCTGTAAATGTTTGTTCTTTCCTAATGCAGAGGATTGTTCTATGTTATTTATTTTAAGTTAAAGAAGAGTTTAAGCAGGAAATAAGCTATATTTTTTGGGCCTTTTTGTGGTTCATATCAAGGGCAATGTAAATGTGAATAAAAAATGCATTGCCAACCTATGTGTCATACATTCTGGACATTACCAATCACTCTTTTATAAACACATAGAATAGATGTATGTAATTGGTAATAGAAAAACATGATGGTTATTATTACATGATTACTCTTTTTACATTGGTGATTTTATTAGGCTACGTGATTACATTACATTCTTATTTCTTATATCTTACATGATTATTTTTTATTGTTTGTTACGGCCCTGAGCCTACATATTGCTCCCTGTTTTTGTATTTTGTGTGTGTGTGTGGAAACCTCATGTCTGAAGATCCCTGGCCTGTCATTGGTCATTCACTGGCCCTCCCGCCTCCCGGAGGTTGTGACTCGGGTGCTGATTGGAGGAGCGGCAGTGCACCTGGCCGGTCCATCTCCCCCACCTGGAGTCAGTCTCCACTTAAGGCCACACTCCACACCTGTTCGAGGCTGCCAGCCTGTGTGTGGCTGGTATGCCAAACTGTCCTTACGAAAGTGTCTGTCTTTGTCACAGTGGTGGCATTGACTTAAAGACAGTCCTTATGGTCCTTATAGCTTTTATTTGGTTTGTCTCTTTTTATTTGTCACTTTCGAGGTTCTGTTTTTGTGACACTTCGCTTCTGTTGAGGCAACAGTCAGTTTAGTGTTTTGTTTTAGGTGGTTTAGTGGTTAGTGTAGCTTTTATTTTGGTAACGTTGAGTTACCCCCTTATGTCCTGTGGTGTCCTTTTGATTTGTTTCCTTATCATTTACTTGCCTTTTATTAAATACTTGCTTCAACATCTTGGTTTTAATTTGTTACCTCCCTCACCCTAGCTGAGCTGGGTCGTAACATTGTTATTAGATGATTATTTTTTTTATCATTAATAATGCATGATTATTATTTCACATTATATTGACTTACCTTAGACAGATAGCCAGCCGTTCTTCAGGGCTTATAGGCTCCCTCATGTTTGTGTGGATCTTCTCTATCTTTGGCGTTACCATGGTGAGAAGGTGGGAAAACAGCTCTGGACTGAGCCGAAAGTAGGCACGGAACTGATCAGGATCAGTTTTAAGGTCCCTCACCAAGTGATGGTATTCTCCGTGTATTTGTCTCGTCTTCAATATCGGATGGACCCATTCACGTCGTCTCCGCTTCTTGTTGAGCAAATTCAGGAGTAATATTTCACACAGCTCTAACAGAATCTTTTTACGATCCATAATTGCCGCCGGACCCCTTTTGACCCCTGAACTGTGTTTATATACCCCAACGTTTCCTCTCTGACAGCCAATCAAAACCATGGAAGACCCACGCGTCGCCCTGGAGCGCAGCGCATCGCCGGCCTGTGCCGCTTGCCGCATCGCGCCCCGTCTGTCATGTTATCTGAGCGACAGCGTTGAGTTTCGCTGATCGCTCTCATTTGTCGCCTCCCGTGTGTCGAGCCCTTTACACTGAACATGTGTCTGTGGTTCTAAATCAGCTAAAGTTGTGTTGGTGTTATGTGTCAAATCTATATCTTTTACTAAACGCAGACAGAGAGTGAATCATGGTTTGATAAAGACAGTTGTGTTTCTGCTGAATACTGGTTTGAAACTTGCTTTTTTCATCTCGGAATCATAATTGATGTTCGCCGACGTGATATTGTTCTGGTATCGACTCGCCCGGTTAGAACCAGGGCCAAACCATTAATAAAAAGTACTGAGGAGTCGAGTCCAGCCCTTTAGTACTGTACGAGTCCATTTCTGTCATTATCATGTTGATGACATTTACAATAAATCTGTCTGAGCAGAGGTATGTGTGCGTGCGTGCGTGTGTGTGTAAGGGATGGGGTGATGTTTATGTAGTGCATATTTGTATGATGTGGCTCTCTGCTGTAACACGGTAAAAAAATTGGCTCTTAGTCTGTGACTGGTTGGCCACCCCTGCGTTAGCATTAGCCTACATAGCATCTGCGGCCCCAGACAAAGCTAACAGTCCGCGGTCTATACTTTGCTGACTTTCATCGATACAATGCAGTATTTTGTGTGGTATACGGTTGTAGTAACCGAGGGAAAAGAGAGAAAGAACTGTTAAATACTTGTTTTAATGCCAAAGGTTGTCTCAAACCAACATTTACATGTATAACAAAGCTAAAGGCAGGCTTTACAATCAGTCTTCTCACATATAATCTAGCCATTGTGTTATGAGAGTCATTGTTCATCGTTATTCCCACGACTGTGAGGTCCAGGGTCTGGGACTGTGAGGTCCAGGGTCTGGGACTGTGAGGTCCAGGGTCTGGGACTGTGAGGACCAGGGTCTGGGACTGTGAGGACCAGGGTAATATCAATGTCCAGCGTCAAAGCTCGTTGCCGTCTGATCATTTCTTGATCACGTTCGGTCTCACTTTGGAGGACTTTCCTGTCCCGCAAGATAAAACCATAATGAAAAGAACCTTAAATGATAAATCTATCGCAAGGTTCAAAGAACTAATACAGCCAATGTTGAATACTGCTGCAGGTAAACCTGCTCACAGCTGCTGCAGTCCCTCAGTCATGGACCAAACGGTGGGCAACACTATGGAGTCTATAAAATCTGCATTACAGTTTTTCTCTATTGCTTAAACACATTTCACGATACTGCCCTCCCTTTTCTCAGAACTCTTTTCTAAAGCTACGTACACACAACAACACAGTCTCTTTTCAAAACCGACTCATCACACCAAAACAGTTTCTCATATTCTCAAAACCAACCCATCACACCAAAACAGTTTCTCATATTCTCAAAACCAACCCATCACATCAAAACACCTCTCATGGTCTGCAAAAATGTGAACACTATGAGCATCATTAACCACATCACCAAAACAATTGAAAACACAATTTTCAGAATGTGAGACTGTTCTTTTTTACAGTATCACAACTGCCAGGATGCATTTGAGCAACACTTTTTTATTCTCAAATATGTTTTGGGCCTTTACTATAAATTTGCGCGTATCATGGGAATAGTTACATAACGCAGAACATGCAGTTATATCACAACTCAATGCAAACATGAGCACTGTAGATTCTATAGAGGATCCATTAGACACAATAGTCATGCCGTGGACAATGACTGTTGCTCTTAGTTCATCTGTAATGGAAATGCGTTGTCTTGCTCGCCCTCCTTCTCTCCCTCCTCGGCCTGCTCCTCTCTCTCCTCGGCCTGCTCCTCTCTCTCCTCGGCCTGCTCCTCTCTCTCCTCGGCCTGCTCCTCTCTCTCCTCGGCCTGCTCCTCTCTCTCCTCGGCCTGCTCCTCTCTCTCCTCGGCCTGCTCCTCTCTCTCCTCGGCCTGCTCCTCTCTATCCTCGGCCTGCTCCTCTCTATCCTCGGCCTGCTCCTCTCTCTCCTCGGCCTGCTCCTCTCTCTCCTCGGCCTGCTCCTCTCTATCCTCGGCCTGCTCCTCTCCCTCCTCGGCCTGCTCCTCTCTCCTCGGCCTGCTCCTCTCTCCTCGGCCTGCTCCTCTCTCTCCTCGGCCTGCTCCTCTCCCTGCTCGGCCTGCTCTCTCTCTCTCCTCGGCCTGCTCCTCTCTCTCCTCGGCCTGCTCCTCTCTCTCCACGGCCTGCTCCTCTCTCTCCTCGGCCTGCTCCTCTCTCTCCTCGGCCTGCTCCTCTCTCTCCTCGGCCTGCTCCTCTCTCTCCTCGGCCTGCTCCTCTCTCTCCTCGGCCTGCTCCTCTCTATCCTCGGCCTGCTCCTCTCTCTCCTCGGCCTGCTCCTCTCCCTCCTCGGCCTGCTCCTCTCTCTCCTCGGCCTGCTCCTCTCCATCCTCGGCCTGCTCCTCTCCCTCCTCGGCCTGCTCCTCTCTCCTCGGCCTGCTCCTCTCTCCTCGGCCTGCTCCTCTCTCTCCTCGGCCTGCTCCTCTCCCTGCTCGGCCTGCTCCTCTCTCCTCGGCCTTCTCCTCTCTCCTCGGCCTGCACCTCTCTCTCCTCGGCCTGCTCCTCTCTCTCCTCGGCCTGCTCCTCTCTCTCCTCGGCCTGCTCCTCTCTCTCCTCGGCCTGCTCCTCTCTCTCCTCGGCCTGCTCCTCTCTCTCCTCGGCCTGCTCCTCTCTATCCTCGGCCTGCTCCTCTCTCTCCTCGGCCTGCTCCTCTCCCTCCTCGGCCTGCTCCTCTCTCTCCTCGGCCTGCTCCTCTCCATCCTCGGCCTGCTCCTCTCCCTCCTCGGCCTGCTCCTCTCTCCTCGGCCTGCTCCTCTCTCCTCGGCCTGCTCCTCTCTCTCCTCGGCCTGCTCCTCTCCCTGCTCGGCCTGCTCCTCTCTCCTCGGCCTTCTCCTCTCTCCTCGGCCTGCTCCTCTCTCTCCTCGGCCTGCTCCTCTCTCTCCTCGGCCTGCTCCTCTCTCTCCTCGGCCTGCTCCTCTCTCTCCTCGGCCTGCTCCTCTCTCTCCTCGGCCTGCTCCTCTCTCTCCTGGGCCTGCTCCTCTCTCTCCTCGGCCTGCTCCTCTCTCTCCTGGGCCTGCTCCTCTCTCTCCTCGGCCTGCTCTTCTCTCTCCTGGGCCTGCTCCTCTCTCTCCTGGGCCTGCTCCTCTCTCTCCTCGGCCTGCTCCTCTCTCTCCTCGGCCTTCTCCTCTCTCCTCGGCCTGCTCCTCTCCCTCCTCGGCCTGCTCCTCTCCCTCCTTGACCTGCTCCTCTCCCTCCTCTGACACGAACTGCTCTTCTTCTGCCTTTATTATCCATTTTCGTTTTGAACCTTCATCAAACTGCACTGATGCGTGGTCACATAATTTGCAACAGGTGTTTTCAATTCTGAGTGGTTGTGTTTTCTGAATGACACCAGGTATGTTCATTGTGTTCAGGTTTTGCTGACAGTGGGAGACATTTTTCATCACATGAGCCTCACAATGATTATAGTAGCAGAGATACATGCAAAAGGTGTTTTAGCAATGGAAAAATGTGTTTTAGCAAAATAAAAATTTGTTTAGAGTTTTGAGAAAAAGGGCATGTGTTTTGTGAACAGTGTCTACAGGAGAATTGTGTTTATGGTTGTGATAAGTGGGGGGAAGTTTTAATAAATGTGTTTAGGCAATTGGTCATTTGGTTTAGAGTACTGGGTTTTGTGTTGTAGCAATAGAGAAAAACTGTAAATGCAGCAGCTCCTTTAAAACAGAAAACTATTAGGATTAGATCATCGTCGCCCTGGTACAGTGTTCAACTGCATACTTTAAAACAGGACGTGAGAAAATTGGGGAGGCTATATTGCCACTCCCACTCGGAGCCTGTCCACAGGGAGTGGAAAGCAGGTCTCCGAAACTATAAGAATGCCCTTCGCAGGGCTCGAACTCAATACTATTCAACTTTAATAGAAGCGAATAAAAATAACAGTAGATTTTTGTTTTGCACCGTTGCTAAACTCACAAACTGCCACAGCGCAATCGAGCCCCAAGCTCACTGAGCAGCATTTCTTTAATAACAAAATTACATCCATCCGTGACAAACTGGAGGAGGTTACTCCTGCTGTTGGTAGTGGACAGGCTGAAGCGGCATACTTGACTTCCCACTTGGACTCTTCAGTGGGCCTCGATAAATTCATGGCTCTATGTGGTCACATCTTCTAAAGCCTCAACTTGCAGTATAGATGCAGTCCCGACATGGCTCTTCAAAGACATACTTCCTTTGATAATTGAGCCTATCATAAATATAATAAACGCATCCATACAATGTGGCTATGTCCCACAAGCTTTTAAAACCGCGGTTATCAAACCCCTTCTGAAGAAAACAAACCTGGACCCAGAAATACTTACAAACTACAGACCGATCTCGAACCTCACTTTCATATCTAAAAAAAAGCTTATAGCTGAGCAGCTTTGCTGCCACCTGCAGGAAAACAATATGTTTGAATTCTTTCAATCAGGATTCAGAGCTCATCATAGCACTGAAACGGCACTAGTCAAAGTCAGAAATGACTTACTACTAGCTGCTGATAACGGACAAGAGTCAGTGCTGGTCCTACTGGACCTTAGTGCTGCATTTGACACATGGCCTCCTCCTCCATCTACACCTGCGGACTGCCCCGCCCGACCCGCCTTGGAGTGCTTCAGTCCTGCACTGGACCTGTCCACGTTCAGCGGCCACTGGTCCACGTCCTGTAGCTAGCATAGGTCCTGGATCATTAGCCTGTCCGTCCGGAGGAGCGGATCCCTTTCTCAATTGGGTCTCCCCAAGGTTTCTCACGTTTTCCCACTGGGTTTTTTATGAGTTTTTTTCTTGCTGATGTAGGAGGGTCTGTTGTACAGTTATTGTCCAACAAAAAGGATGTGGTGATGATCAGGACACTTTAGCATTCTACAACATGTATGGAATTTGTTTTTAATGTGTGCTTTATATTTTTCATGTGTCTTAACTGTTGATTCTCTGATGTGTGTTGGTGATTTCAATGGTGTTTTTAAGTCCTCTGAGATGACTTCTGTTGTGACTTAGGGCTATACAAGAATAAATTGTATTGTATTGTATTGTAATTTCTCATAATTATATTTTCTGTAGTGGAGTGAGGGTCAACAGGTGAGAGCTTTAAGTGTGTGTTAATTCTGAATTCTGTTGTTTAAGCCCTTAGTTGCTCCTGATCGATGCTAAGTAAATCGTCGCTTCTTGGTGGGACCATAATGCGATTAACCACACACTTCATAAACATCGCAGCTCCTCTCCGGCTCCTCACACAGAGACCCGCTTATGCCTCTGATCAATATTTCTCTCATATCATCGCTTCTGCCCAGGGCTCAGCTACCTGTTAGCATCACGCTTAACCCGGCTGCTTCAAAGTTACAGCGTGTCGGAGGGCCTGCTAATTACAATTCCTCCGCAATGATGGACCGAGAGACCGACCGACCTCGGAGATGGCAGTGAGGATGTGAATGTGGAGCCGAGACCTGAGAACAAAGACAAATACATACAGAAAAACACAAATTCTTGTTTTGAAAATATTGTGAAAAAACATTTACTTTCAATTTATTCTATTCATTTTTTTACAGGGACATTGCAAAGTAAATATATTGTCCTTGGACAGAGGAAAAGTGACAGCAAAGTGTGCAAAGAATTAATAAATACAATAGCAGAGTTAGCGCTTAAAATACAGGTAGAATACAACACACCAAACCACATAGATACAAAATAAAAACAATATAGACAACACACATTTATTTATCTGTTTCATGACTGCAGGCTTGATTATCTTTGAGCCGTGTCTTTAGGTTGAGTTTATACTGCCCCAGTGAGCTACACTTTCAAGGTTTTATTGCTTATGTGTTTGCGTTTAAATGTTGTTGTTTAGTAAGAATGCAAGAAAACGCCTGGAGTAACTTGTCCTATTTAGATAGATAGATACTTTGTTGATCCTTGTGGGAGAAATTCAGGTGTCCAGAAGCAGCAAAAACGCATCCACCCACACAAACCAAACAAATTCATTGATCATTCTAAAAAGCTAACAATATTAATGGTAAAATGCAACAGCACTTTAGGTCACAGCAGCAGAGGTGGAGTAGCCGCTTGGTTCGAACCATTTTCTCTGCTCTAGTCCTAAGGAAAATACTGAATGTTTCTTTAGCATTTTTCAAAAAGTTAGCATTCCTCCAGTGGATTATCGCCTGATCCGCTTGTTTCGGACCATGAATCCTCTCTGCTCTGGTCTGGACCAGTGCAGCACCATGAACACTGTACTGCAGCAACATCTAAGGTAGAAAAAAGTAAGAAAAAGGACAATTGTAAAGCACAGAATAATGACTGTTTCAGAGCTACTTAGGACTTGCTGCTGTTTCCACCGCATTCAAAAGTAAAAGGTACAATGCAAGCAATGAAATATGCAACAGCCTCAGTCCTGGATCTACAGCCTGAGTCCTGGATCTACAGCCTGAGTCCTGGATCTACAGCCTCAGTCCTGGATCTACAGCCTCAGTCCTGGATCTACAGCCTCAGTAAGTTTGTGGGAGTGGATCCCTCTCTCAATATGGTGGTCCCTGAGGTTTTTCACTTTTTATTTTACTACTGTTTCCCAGACATTCATATACATTTATTAATATTTATGGACATTGTGTTATGGACCTATGACTCTTATGTGTTTGTTATTGCTTCTTAATTATCTGATCTTTTAATAATTAAGGAAAGTTCATCTTGTCTTCTTAGTAGAATTAAAGGTATTTTCCTTGATACCAGACAATAGTAAAATAGTTGTTGGAGCCATGTGTGTTATTTGTATTATTTTGCTGCCTGGAAATGTGCCCCAGTGAGAATAGATGTTTTTAAAATGAAAGCAGTAATAAGTGGGTCTAGAAAAGTCTATTCTAATGAAATCAGCCAAACGCCTCTGGTGGAGCATGGCGGAGCAACAAGGGTCTGGCGAGAGTCAGGCTAGTCTGACACAGGGAGAACATGCAAACTCCACACAGAAAGGCCCTGTCTGGACATGGAATCGAACCATAAACCTTCAATGTTAAACAAGAGTGCAAACCTCAGCACCACAGTGTACTCATGTCCTCCCCTGACTCCAATAAACGTACTCAAGAGTATAAAAGTAAAAAGTAAAATGCATTTTTTGTTCAATCATTAATTTTTATTTCAGTAATTTTTCATTTGAAACAATATTTACCGCTGTAGAAATATTTTATACTGGTACTGATAATCATAAAAAAATAAACAATACATTGAAGCCAATTGATCTGAAGTTAGAAGCATGGCTAATCACAAAAAATGAATTCACTTGGAGCATGGCTAACCACGTCAAACCTGTAATATAAGAAATATTATTCAAAAAGTTGAGAGAAAAATGAGTCAGTAAAGCACAAACTTAATCTGAAACTGTTTTTATATTTATAACACCACAAAAACCTTATATTGTCTGGTATAGAAGAACCCAATACTTTTAATCTGAAACTATTATTAGAACTCGTAGAGCCATCATTTTGACTGCTCCCATTCAAACCAATGCACTTCTGAGAAATGTCATAAAAAATGTTGGGTTTTCTACCGAATATTTAAATATGGTTTATCTTTATTCACTTTGCCTAAGTGCTAAACAGGTTAGTATAACTTTATTATAATACAAACAATTGAAAAAATAGAAAACAGTGTTGAAAAGCTAATGCTAAAGACCAAATGCTAACAGTTACAAGTAAAGAATGTGTCGCTATGATAACTGGCACTTGCTCTTGTCCAGTGGAAAACCTCAGAACCAGTCCAGGACCATCTAAAAATAACTCAGAGGAGAAAGAATAGAAAGTTGTCAGTTAAAGCAAAATGGCTACTATTTACTTTCAGAATTTATTGTTATAACATTTCAAAAATAAAATTTATAGAATTTCATAAAAAAATAATATTTTTACATAGAAATAAACTACATTTAGAAACAGATACAATCACGAAGTTAGGAAGACCAAAACATTCACATAGACTCAGTTGTAAGACGTCATAGAAACTAAAATCAGTTTTAAAGTTACTGAGCTACTTGCCACCTCTGTAGGAAGGACACCTATAATGAATTTCGGATGCAGCCCAGTGCAGACAGTTCACACAAAGTAACCACTAGATGGCGCTTGAAACTCACTGCTGCCTGACATCAGCGACAGAGCGACAGTGAATCTACAGGAGACCTTTTTCACATCCGCAAATGACATTAAAGAAATTAAAGGAACCGTCACATGATTCAGCATCTTC